AACCGTTTTTTACTACATGCATATGAATATAAATACGGTATATACACCAAAATAACATTTTTTACAATTTTTGACAGTCTGTCTGTCTGTTTGTTCTGGTTAATTTCTGAAATGGCTGGACCGATTTTGACAGAACTTTTTCTGGCATAGCTGATGTAATAAGGAGTAACTTAGGTTACTTTTATTTTAGATTTTTTTTTTCTTTTAGATAAATAAAGTTAAATTCCACGATGACGAAGTCGCGGGGACAACTAGTTATAAATATAATTATTAAATGTATAAATTAATTACTTAATATAATATTCTGTTCATGAGTATATTAAAATATATGTATATTAATTTTTTATATAATACTTACAGGAAAATCTTTCCCATATTGGTTGAGCTACTTCATATAGCACACAATACTCGCTACGAATCACAACACGTTATGAGCAAATAATGCCTTCGTAACGAATATTTTTTTTTTCGGACTACTCTAATGCTTTTGGCCGCAGCTAGCCTTTACAGCTTCACCGGAGGATATTGGGCGAGTGCAGATGGCACTCCAAACCCTCAGAAGGATGGAGTGGTTGGAGGCCGAATCCCGCCTGATGGATACGATTTTAGTCTAAGGGCACAGCTAGGGATTCGAAGCTCGGCTCAGGCCGTCGTAATTTCGATTCCCGTTTGAAAAGGACGGGGGATTGAACGGTGGGGACGAATAACTGCGTTCGCAATCACGCACCACACGAGGTACGGTCAGCAGCGGTCGCGGCCGACTGACAGCGGCCGGCAGGTGAACGGACGTGTGGTAAGCCGTGTTAAGACACTTTCAGACGTTAATAGAAAACGCAGCGATATCTCAGTCTTATTAGGTACTAAGAATATCCGCGGCTATATTCAAAGCGTTCGTAAATCCTGGTTCCCACCAACATGGTGTGTACCTTCATGAAGGAAGACTACTGGCCGTAGGGACTAGTGTACCGCGCCGCTACCATGGCAGATGCCATAGTGATTGTGAAGACCACAAAGTTCATATTAATAGTTTTATTTCTTATATATGTATAGCAATAACCTAAACCAAACAAACTAACACAAAACAAAAGTAGCACGAAAATTATAGACTTTCTCCATCACAAATATCTACGTATACGTCAAATTTTAAAATTAACTAAACAAACATATAAATAGAATTTTTATTTTAATTCTATTCATTATGTAGGTACAAACAGACAACTGTATTTATTTTTATAGATTTGAACAGTGATTAATTCCCCATACAAATTTTTAGTCCCTATTTCCCATTTTAAATTTCATTTTCTTAATAAAAAGTAGCCTATGTTGTTTTTCAAGATCTATACAATTTTTGTAAATGTATTGTATAATAAATACATAAACAATACCCAGACCAATACAACAATCATACTCATGAATATAAAGGGTTGAACATGAATGGAACTCGTGACCATTGGAAGTATGGAGGTAAAACGGTATTCTAAACCAGTAGGGCCGTCATTGAAATTAAAAAATAGTGGTACTTATTAAAATTTTAACTGTAGATACGATGTTCGTGTGTGAGACCCTTAATAGCCTCTACGGAACCGATGGAGCGAGACGTGACACGATTTTCGCATGTACCCTATTCCATAGAATATTGTGATGAATAAACAAATGACAAAACCATTGTATTCTTTTAAGGAGTGGTGATGTTTGTAGCTGAGGTTCACTTGTCCCATTCAGTCGACAGGCACACAATCACGGACAGTAGGTAGTTTTTTTTAATATTGTAATAGAAACAGAAATAAACTTTATTCAAATAAACTCAATTACGAGCACTTTCAAATTAACGAATAATTTATTCATGTAGGACATTTTAGCTGCTTATGAACGTAAATTTTTTCACATTATAATTTTTTCCCTACCGTCCAGATACTTGTGAATAGTCATATTTTTTATCTAGCAATCATTCGGAACGCATACTCATCACAAGAAGATTGAACATGAATCTTGTGTGTTGGTCTTTTGAATAGATGTTATTTTAAATAAATAATTAAACAATAACAATTAAGAGGCATGCAATAATCAACATAGAAACCACTACGCTAAGTGCGTAGTGGTTTGAGCATGAATCTTGTGTGTTGGTCTTTTGAATAGATGTTATTTTAAATAAATAATTAAACAATAACAATTAAGAGGCATGCAATAATCAACATAGAAACCACTAGGCACTTATGTTTGGTGCAATCAGATAATATTATCAGCACTATGAACTTTAAGATTTGTCCAGTAATACATTATTATCATTCATGGAGAATGGTGTTTCCGTCTGCGCTGGCGGTATAAAAAACAGATATATTCCATATAATATATATTGGCATAGAAATAATTTTAAATAATAATTTGCACGTTATATTTCATAAATAACAAAATTACGAAAAGTCATGCATAGACATCATGCAACTGTTACTAAACAAGACAACCAGACAGCACTACAAACAAGCATATAGCAATTTGGCATAGTATAATGTATAATAAACTACATTATATAAAAAAGTTAGAAATTAGTTAAAAAATTGTATATACAAAGAATAAACAGCTAAAATAGGAAAAAAATATAAATTTTTAAAATGTAGGACTGAGATTGTGATAAAGTAAAGTATGGTAAAGTATAAGTGTTGAAATCCAAACTTTATAGTAATAATAAATAATCGTGGACAATTTACACAGCGCTATCTAGTCCCACGGTAAGCAGAGCTTGTGTTATGGGTACTAGACAACTGATATAAAAACTTACATATATTTTAGTTAAGTTGGGATACACTGCTCTATACACAAATTTCTCCCAGCAACATTTAATAAAAAAAACATTGTTTAAATATTTTTATTCCAATTAAAGTTATATCAAATTTTTATTCTTTTATAAGTATGATTATAATTCTTAGACGATCAGGCCTTGAACTACTAGCATTAATATTATGTATTACATAAAATAAATAAATTTTACGCTATCTCCACATTACAGAACTGGGTTTAAAAAAATACTTCGATGAGTAGAAACAAAATACACAAACGCTACAACATACTCTGATTTATTTTTAGATATCTTAAATTCTTATTAAAATAAACTGTTTAGTTATAAAAAGGTAATGAATAGATATACAAAATACTATTCACATTCAAATATTAGTATGGAATACAAATAATCCTTAATAATATAGTTAAATTAGGCTTTAGTGGTGATTAAGTAAATATAGTGTGTTATTATGTCACTGTATGTTCAGAAATTAATCCTAATAGTCATTGAATCTCACTTATGTATGCATAAACTATTAAAAAGTAGTCATAAATTGTTAATTTGAAAATACACTTCCATCTTCCTTCTTTTTATAAATCTTAATTGTTAATTTGTAAAATAGAGTCCTCCCTTATTTCTATTTATAAATCTTATTGGAAAAGTTATTAATTTCGAATATAGTTACAAAGTTTTGGATTTCAAACTTATATATGCAATATTTATGAGCAAGAATGTGAAGTTGGACACTGAACCTGGTGTGTGGACGGTTGAGGTTGCATTTTGTGTGTACCCTAGGTATATCGCTGGAAGTTATCTTAAACTGGAGCTCACAGCCTTCAGGGTCCATTGTTCTTAGCGGTAAATGGAAACAAATCAGCTGAGTATAATGCTATACTCACCATATGGTGACAATTAAATATTAAAAATATATAACAATATAAGAAATAAATTTCTTCAAATTATTCACTTTAAAACATTTAAAAACTATTAAGTGCCTACTTACAGCGACTGTTCTAAATTTCTGGTGACTTAAAAGTTATTTCTTGATGAGTAATTCAATGGGATTAAATAGGTATTAAGATATGGAAGTAGCCAATTATAAATACATTATTATTGCGGAAGAAATCATTATTATTTATAGCAGGCAATCGGACACAGAAGCTTAAAGCGATACACAATTTATAACCGCATACAATAACATTCGCAAATCGATACGATTATGCGGTAATATTCATAATAATATTTATTTTAGTGACATTCATTTAAAAACTGTATAGGTTAGGCATCTACTCACGACTTAAGGCCGGTTTTTCTTCGTCGATGTTACGCAGACGAAGATTAAGTTGAAACCAATAATTTCACATCGCTACACTAATTACTACTCTTTAGATTATTTTTGGCCTATTACTAATTTATTCCGAAAGTTCACTGAAATTTTGACAGCTCCATTTTCATGTTTCAAATTTAGCACACGCACGCGCGTTGCGATTGCGCTAATTTTATAGATGTGTTCTCGAATGCTAAATTTAAACAATATCTAACAATTTGTGTTTTGTCACCAATATAGTCGTATATATTCATTAATTTGTATACAATTTTGATAGTAAATATTACAAAAAAATCCCTCGTAGGTTCACTAATTAAAATATTTAAGTAGGGTAGATATATTTTTTACTTTTGGGTAGCATGATGTATAAAAATAATTTTGAATACTACAGGTAGAGTCGTAGAATAGAGGTTCTGTTCTAGGTCCTAGACTATTCCACTACATCGGGTATACCATACAACTGACTAGGCCACAGGGAAAAAAACTTTGCAGGTTAACAACATAGTTTGTAATAAATACAAATTTACTATTGGCTCATTGCTACAAATATAAATATACATACATATATTCCAAGTGAATTCACTATCATGGGCTCACAGAACTGACTTTATCTTCATCATGACCTCGACTGGTGCCTTACCAGCTTGTACCGTTAACGCAGAAGGGTGCACCATTCTATTATCCATTAAAAAATTACAAATTTACTATTTGGGCCAGGCATAAATTTAGCAAAATAAATGTTCGTAACTGATTAAATTGCCGGTATGAGATAAAAATAATATCCCTAGAGGAATATATTTATTTATTCTTTATTGAACCAGAAATTAATCACAACGAATATTATTAGGTACAAAAGGCGGTCTTATCGCATAAGCGATATAGTGAAATAAAACAAAATTTTATCCCAGCATTTATTAGCTGTATTTATAGATAGTAACTTACAATAATAAGATGTGTTTATAAAAGACATTTAACTAGGCATAGTAACTAAGGTTGGCCTTCTTCTTCGCCTGCACCTCCAGTATGGCGTCCATGAAGTCTTCATGGGTGACAGCTGTGGCCGAACGTCTAAGAGCAATCATACCGGCCTCTACGCATACTGCCTTGCACTGGGCGCCGTTGAAATCATCCGTCGAGCGGGACAACTCCTCAAAGTTGACGTCTGGGCTCACATTCATTTTCCTATAATTAAAAAATAATTACAAAACCTCTGTATATTAATAAAAGTTATCATTTCTTGTCTATGCTGATATGGATGTTTATACTTTTACGTAAAAGCGAGAATGGAAATTGTTAGGGCTCACATTCATTTCCCTTTAATTAAACAATAAAAAGTACAAAAACTGTGTATATTGATAAAAGTTATTTTGTGTCTATGCTAATATGGATACTCCTACATAGAAAGGGGAACACGAAAGCGGCTAATGTGGACTGATGACCCCCATTGCTAGCAATGTATTAAGTCAGGTTGGTCGCAGATCTTCCTGGAGACTATCATGATAAATTCCTGGTGATTTATCACAATGGGCTAACTGATCTGACCTCATTTTTATCTTAACAATCTTCACTGCTATATGTAACTGGGAATGATGCACCCGCCAGCGTAAACTGTTAGGGCGGACGGGAGGTTAGATCCCCCCTAACCTCCCCTCTTCTTACACCTGCACAATACTTAATTTCTTTCTTACTATCTTCTTAAATAACTAGCTTACGCCAACAGCTTGTATTTTTGTATCTTGTATAATTTACAAGTAACATATTTAGTTTTTTTTACAAACAGTTACATTGTTTATTCCTGTGTTAATATATATAAAAAAAATATTGTTGGTAATGAAGTTAATTAATTTGATTAGACAATGTTGTTAATGCTTCTTCTGTAGGTACAAATGAAAACCATCATTCCAGCAATTAAATTGCCAATCATGTTAAATATGTATAAATGTGTAGCTGTGTAACTGTGCTGATGTTGGCAATAAATTGATTTATTATTATTCTGGGATATCATTCAATTAAATAAATAAATGATATTTGAAATACAATTTAAAAAGGGAACATAATTTTTTTTATTTCTAGGTTATAATGTACAATACCGTGAATGAATCTGCATAATCCTAGCTCTGGCCTCTTCATTGGGATGTGGGAATTCAATTTTCCTGTCCAAACGTCCTGATCTAAGTAATGCAGGATCCAGGATGTCCACTCTGTTTGTTGCAGCAATGACCTGGTTACGTAAAGATAATAATTATAGTGAGACAAAGTAGACAATAATAATAAGACAATTCACACAGCGCCATCTAGTCCAAAACTAAATAGAGCTTGTACTGTTTGTACTAAACAACTAATAGAAATACTTGAATACATTTTGTTATGTTAAAGTTTTAGGTAAAGACTTTGCAGATAAATAAAAATTGTCAACTTTATAGTATATATGTCGTGGTCACATAGAAAAGCGACATTTTTTACTACAAAAACATATGAAGAATGACAAAAGACAAAATTTATTTGGTCAGATCAAAGATTTTATATATTCATTATGTTAACCATACATATACACTACTTAAATGCTATGTAATATTTAGTACCAAATAGTTTGTAAATGTAAAGAACTTAGGAAGGAAAGAAAATACATTCATAAATACTAATAATATTACCCAACACTGAAATGTCTGTATCATGTAAGGATAGGTCACTGAATTATATAAGTTTTATGATTTTGGTTACTCTACATAGAACAAAATCATAATAGTAGTTTATAAATTTACTTAAATAGTTTATACCTTAATATCAGCAGTTGAACTGAAGCCATCGAGCTGGTTGAGCAGTTCTAACATGGTACGCTGCACCTCACGATCACCAGCCTTCTCCGAGTCAAAACGCTTGGTACCAATGGCATCTAATTCATCAATGAATATTATAGCAGGGGCCTTTTCCTTGGCTAGGGCGAAGGCATCTCGTACAAGCTTAGCACCATCACCTGTAATTTTAATTATTACGTAAATAACTTCATGATCACTTAATTTTTCCATGTGGACTATAAAAAGTTGGTACTCAGGTTTACTTGTTTACCTGTATGGCTGACATTTTTTTTAATAGATGATAATGGAATAGCGCAGCCTATGCCATCAGTATACACTACCGGGACACAAGTTGAGGGTGATAAGATGACCATAAGGTCAGGTGAGTTAGCCAATTGATTTACCATAAATTAACTAAGATTGTTTGCAGGGGGAACAGTGTAGAGGTCGACCTGATATGATACATTGCCAACAATAGGGTCATCAGTTCCCATTACTAACAATCCTATTTCCCCATAAAAGAGGTTTTGTTAACTGTATATGAACTGAAAATTCACCACATTTCACAGGGTGTCTTTGAAAACAACATAGTAGGGGCAGAGACTATTCCCATTCCTTAATAATAATCTCTCAAAATACAACTATCTTACAAGTTTGAAAACATTGATGAAATAATTGGTGAAATTAGACTGTTTATTCAGGATTTAGTAAGACAGGCATAAAAATTTGTAATTTATTTTTTAATAAGAAAAAATCTACAGCTCATCTTATTCATTAAAATAACTTCTTTACCACACAATATGTGGTTATGGTTGTGTAATATAATAAGATTATCTTTATGTCATATAATAATGGTTTAATTGTAGTGTAAGTATTAATGATAGTAATAAGAAGTAATAGGTAGGGATGCATGGAATACATACCAATGAACATTTGAACAAGCTGTGGTCCGGCTAACTTCAAGAAGGTGGATTTAGTTTGGGCCGCACATGCCCTGGCCAGCAGGGTCTTGCCAGTACCTGGAGGACCATACAAGAGCACACCCTTGGGCGGATGGATGCCTAAGTTGACAAATTTCTCTTTGTGTGTCATCGGAAGAACTACAGCTTCAATTAATTCCTGGAAATTATAAAATCAGAATGTAGACGAAAAAAACTATGATTTTGTATTATCTATACAACTAGTCAGATTATAAAAAAAATTACATGTCCAAGATCCAAGATATCAACAATATGAGAATTCTGATACAAGAACAGAGTTTTGGCCTTCAGTATGAAGATATTTGCATACAAGTTAGACAAAAAAAGACAAAGACAAGAAAAAGATAAAAAAAAATTGGTCAAAATATGATGATGTACAACATTAGAAAGACGACTAATAAATGAGATTCTATTTCTTTGTTTGAGACTGAATTTTTAAATTTGGCAACCCAAGAAAAACAATTTATAAATAAATATATGTAACAATTATTTTTAGAATAACATTTTAACACTACAGGTTATGCAGGAGCATTATAGGTTACAAAAGGTCATACCAAATAGGGCCACTATTTGTGTATGTAACCAAAAATAAGGTTATATAGAATACTAACCTGAATTTGTTTATCCAAACCACCAATATCAGAGTACTGTTCTGTTGGTCGCTCATCTACCTCCATAGCCTTCACTCTAGCATCATACTCTGCTGGCAGTGTCTCCAGAATCAAGTATGAGTCCTTGTTTACGCCTACTAAGTCACCAGGCTTCAATTTCTCAGCATCTACCAGTCCAATGACAGGCAAAAAGTATGTCTGTCTTGTTGATGTCTTTATAACTGCACACTTGCCCTTCCTTTGAGAGTCCAGGTCGACCACTGCCCCGTCTTCTTCTTCTTCCTGAGGGTCGACGTCCAGTAACTCTATAACATTGGATACTAAGTAAGGTAATGTTTTGTTCACTTTGATTTTCTCTGTATTCTCCTTAATTTTCTCGTTCTGCGCCTGCAACTCGTGAGAGATTCTCATGACTTCACTCTTCATGATCTTTATTTCATTGTCCAGCAGTCGAGTACGACTGATTATTTCATCTGTTGGCATACGAAGCACTTCCTCGCTAAGCGCTTCTTCACCATCTTCCCAAATGGACTTGTCTTCCAGCGTAGTCGCCATATTATTCCACGCTTATGTTTGTGCTATTTTAATTTAAAATTTTTGATATACAACAATAATTCAATTTGAAAATAATCGTAACACATTAAAAAAGTGAATTGTCATTATTTCTCAAATCATTCGGGAATTAGGGTGTCCGTGTATAACAGTTTTAAAACTACTAAATTTTATTTTAATATTTTCTACCATTGACAGACGTAGTGATTATATACTCAATGACAGTAACTGACTGGAACACTAAGTACTTGACTTCAAAGAGTTTTTACAGTAATTGTTCCACAGACGGACTTCATAAAAAAAAAACAATGACAGTCTAGTGACATTTTGGCAATTACTGAACTTCCACTTCTACAATAAAATCAAATATCGAACATTTAAAATTATTAATTCTATTACATTTTATTGTTAATATTTATTATAACTTGTAGAACTATATCAAAATGGCATTTTCTATGTTTCTTCGCAGTTCAGGTAATGTTAAATTGTATTATCATGTTACATAACTAATTGTTGTTGGAATATGCAAACAACATTGAAATATTCGATGCATTTATTTTTAATCATTTTCTCATAAAGATTAGAATAATATTACAGTGTGTATATTTTTTTTTGTATGAATTTATATAAAATAATCCTATATTATTTCTCTATGTATTCTCGGTATACAGTTATACAATGCGGTATTTAATAATTAATATTTAAAATGTATTTTATTGACTACTATTTTTAATATAAATATAGAGAATTGACTCTAGTTACTTGCAATGTTAGTTTAATAAAATAGCCCTGTATGTTATCACACATTACCAAAACAAGACTGGCTTATAAAGTTATTACATATATAACTTCCCTGGAATACTAAGATATTTCTTTCCAAATGGATACAAATTCCTTGAACAATGGTAGAACAAGGTTGCTTTGTGAGAGTGGAGATGCATAAACCTTCTCTGTGAAATTTTTGGTTGGCTATATCACAGCTGTAGAAATAATTGGTTGAATAATGATGGAAGTATGCATTGTAAAGAGTCTAAGTAAAATATTTGTTTTACTTCATATGTGTTTAACAATTTGATGGTATGGGCATGTTATGCAGAGGAGCAAGAATCATGTCTTAAAGAAAGTGTATAGTATGAATGTGGATGAATGGAAAGGGAGAAGACACCCTTAAAAAACATAGATGGATTATGTGAAAGATGATTTGAATAAAGGGAGAGTATGCACAGATATAACAGCTGATAGAGATCAGTGGAAGAGAATGACATACTGGGCCGACTCCAAATAATGGGATAAAGGTAAGGCAATTATGAATAATGTGTGTTTAACAATTGTTACAGCATGCAGAAGTCCAGTATTCAATCAACAAATGATGCGTTTTGCAACACAACCAATACTGAAGGAGCGTAGCATTGTCAGCACACTGCCCATCAAGAGTCTCACCCTTACACAGGCCAAGAGCACGCCTATATTGAATTCTGTAAGCAATTTTTATAATCTTATTATTAATTTTAACATTTTTGGACACCAAAATAGTTTTAGCTAGATAATTAATGAATCAATTTTATTTTAAAAAAATAATGTTAATGTAATGTAATGTGTGGATGAATAGAATGTGCTTGGCACTGGCATTGCTATGCTTATTTAGTGCCCTCAGCATGGTGTTGTTTTAAAGAGTTTCTTTTTAAAGAAACAAATATTGTTTAAATGTATAAAATGTTTATAAAACATACATATAATATTAAGTATTATGTGTTATATGTATATAATTGATAATGACCACATGAATCTCTGTTTGCCTTATGGTTGACTGGGAGAAAATGCCTCCAAGTGTTAAGACTGCAATGTGCACCTCTATTTGTGTATTCCTGCATTGAAATTTTAATAAAATAACAAAAATATATGTGGCTGATATGATTAAGTTATTGAGATATAAGATAGATATATATGTTTTCAATTCTCACTGCAGTAAATTAGAATTATTGTTTTTGTATCATGAACATCATAATTCACACTTGTCATATCATATTATGAGAGAACCATACCTTTGAGTGTCCTCAAACTGCTTGACTTTCTGCAGCAATAAATATTTGTCAAAAACATCTCATATTGTGAAGTAAATCATAATAATGAAATTAAAAATCATAATTTGAAGTAATTCTTTGATGTAATATTTTTAATTCAAATATATCACATATGATATCAGTGAAACTTTTGCGGTTCCAGGTGCGTTCATTCCGCACATCCCTCGTTCGACTCTCCCAGGAGAAAGCTCACGACCACTCTAAACTATGGGTAGTGGAGAAGCTGACATCTGTGCTACTAGTGCCACTGGTTCCGCTCGGTCTCCTCATGCCAAACAAGCTGTTTGATTCAGTACTGGCCATTCTTATTACAGCACATAGTTTCTGGTGAGTACCAAATTGCTGTAATAATTCACTTATATATCTTTTTGTGTCTTTTTCATTACACATGTCTATTGTTAAACCAATAATAAAATAGAATCAGTTGCAAATTTTTCGGAGTGATGAAAAGCTGAACTGGACAGTAGGTATATTGATAAGAAATTGCATATGCATAAGCAATCACAATGTATTTATGAATAAACCATTTTGAGTTAAACTTTCCTCTCATCTTTTATGTGGCACCAGTAGAAGTTAATATAATGAGGACAAAGTCAGGTCGTCTAGTTTAAGTTCAATTTAAAATATATCATACATGGGAAATTTACCATTAGTCGAGGTTGAAAGGTAGATTACCATGATACTAAGGTAAAGTACCAAGTGTTAACCCAACATCAACGCGCACATGACATCCCTGGTGTTTCAGGGGTTCATAGCTATGGTAACCATTTATTATCAGAAGGGTTACATGCTTGTTTGCCACCATTGTTGTTGTGGTGGGGTTCTTTTTGTGTTGAGATTATATGTTAACTAATAAATAATATGTATGTTTGCAGAATTGTATTGCCTTTTAATAATTTCATACAATTATGTCAATCAGTCAGTATTTGACATTAAAACTATATATTAATTAACAAATTAATTAATAAATAGGTTGTATACTCGTAACAATTGTAGTAAAAAAAAACATTGCTACCTATATGGGAATTAGTCTTCAATTGAAACTCTGTATGCTTGTTTGACACTATTATAGTAAAAAAAAACACTGCTAACTATAAGAATCTTCAATCCTAAATATCCTGTTTGTTTACTTGTAAGAGTTGAGGACGACCTCGGTGGTCTAGCGGTCTAGCGGTCTAGCACACCGCTTTACGACCGATTGTCGGGTTCGATTCCTTGCACGGCACAAACATTTGTATTCATGAGTATGATTGTTTGTATCGGTCTGGGTGTTTTCTATGTATAATATGTATGTATTTACAAAAAAAATATCTACGTATCAGTTATCTAGTACCCATAACACAAGCTTTAGCTAGCTTAACTTGGGTCTAGATGGCGCTGTGTGAATTGTCCTGAGATTATTATTATATATATTTCCATCACACCATATTCATACCTCTCCAACATGCAACCTTGATAACAATAACCTGATTCTAATCCAATACCTGTAACCTAAATATCCTACAACCCACGTTCCTCCCATCCATAGGGGTTTAGAAGCCATTGTGCTGGAATACCTCCGAGTGCTGGTCGTCGGGCCTGTGGTGCCCAAAATCGCCATGGGCATGGTGTACCTAATAACGGCAGTTACCATGGGCGGTCTCTTCTACCTGATCTTCAATGATATTGGCATGTGTAGAGCTTTTTGGAGAATTTGGAGAAACATGAAGAAGCCTAAAGATAATCCTCCCCCATCTTCAGGTTTAGCAGTGATGCCCCCCATCCAGGTTTCATATCGCATTATAAATAAAGAACCTCCGACATGTAATACAACGCCATCTAGTCTTAAACTAAGCAGTTTGGTAGTGTATGATATTGCTACTAAACTACTAATGACCATTTTTGTAAAGTTTTGTAAGATGGCAGAGAGAGACTACAAAGTTGTACAAAGATTTTAACGGACAATGGAATACTGCAGGCAGTGCACTATTTCATTATCATCCATTAAACGCGCCAAAGGTATACCCTGGTGTGGCACTAGTAGGGCTAAGATTGGCATGAGCTCAGGTCAGTTAGCCCATCGTATCAAATTTACCAGGAATTTATCACTGCGGTTTCAAGAGGGAACCGCGGGAGGTGTAACTGACATGGTACATTTCTAGCAATGGTATCATTAGTTCAGAATACTGACTCTCCCCATTCCCTAGGGGTGATATTAATAATGTATAGTTTCTTTCATAGGAAATAATTATAAAGTTACATCAGTTAGGTTGGTATTCCAGATACATAAAAATATGCGAATTAAAAAGTATTAAATTTCAGGGGCCTGGAAGCGATCGTTGTTGATTACGTCCGCGCCAGCATCTTCGGGCCAGTTATCCCCAAAATTGCCATTGGGCTTGTATACCTGATCTCTATCGCGACACTCGGCGGACTCTTCTACGTCATCAGCCATGATATTGGTATCGCCAACTCCTTTAGACAACTATGGGCTATCAAATCTGACAGTAACAAGGCGTAAACTCATGTTAGTGTATTGTTATGTCACGGTTTAAAACTACAAGTTTAAGATCAATATTGTACGGTAAAGTGAATTTTTCTACAAGGAATTGTGATACTAAAATGCAGTTATTAGACTTTCAAAAATACACTTTAAGTAATTACAATAGATTCGGTTTAACATTAAATCGTGACGTAACACAGTATAGCTTGTAAGATTTGGATATTGGCGCCCATCGATTTATACATAGTATTACTGTAATTTCATTTGTAATTATCAATTTGCATAATAAAAATGTGCCATTCCCATGTAAAGTGGCCAATATCCAAATTGTTGCCAGATTTTTGATAACTACTAAAGTGGTACAAAATGTATTGCCTGTGGTATTGTAAATTATAGCTATGTAAATGTATATTTTGCAGTAATTTAATAAAATACATTAATACGTAATAATGAGTTGTAGCACTATGTTTTCAAGGCTTATGATAATGTCAGAAATAGCTCATGTATACATTTATAATCTAAATTGCGTTTTTTAAAGCCACGTGGCGCGAGAATGTATGTAATTTTCTATGCAAATTTCCTACAATTTATTATACGTTGCAAATTGACGTTTAACTTATCAGCGAAAAATTACAAAAATCTGGCAACATTATCGAGGACAATATCAGCTAATAAGTTGTAAACATTAAATCACGGGGAACTGTCGTTGTATCGAAAGTTTTTTATATTTCGATGTGAGAATATTTAGATTACGCAAGCAAATGAATCTTTGATGCGAATTATTTATTGATAGATTAATAAAATAATTTCTGTTGATAATTTTGTTTTATTTGGCAACATTCGTGTGATTGTGAAGATAATATTTTAAGGAAAGTGTTATATATGAATGTGGATGGTTACAAGGGCAGAGGAAGGCCGAAAAAGAGATGGATGGACTGTGTGGAAGATGATACGGTAAGAAAGGCAGTAAATAACGAGATGACTGCGAACAGGGATGAACAGAAGAGAAAAACATATTAGTCCTACCACAAATAAATGGGATAAGAAAGAGATCAACCTAATATGGTATATTGCTAGCAATGGGGTTATTAATCCACATTACTAACAATTGCCTTCCCCCTTCTTCACCATAAGATGTGATGACCCAAACGCGGGAAACATTAGTCACAAGTGGACACTGTCAGTTTTACTGCGCCCTCCGCAAGCAGGGCCATTGCCATTGGGACATTGCTAGCAATAAGTAGCTATGACGTGGTCGAGTGGAATGACTAGTCATGCTAGTCATGCTCACTAAAATGTCCAGACATGTGGCGGGCGTGGTGGGCCGGGTCATTGGGCTCCCTAAAATATGGTCGAGCGCAGTGATGGCTGGCTCATTCGTCATTCTCGTGAACGAGTGCTGCTTGTAGGGACTGGTCTGCTCTTATCACTACAACTGATATAATCTTATTGTATATTTATATTTGACCCAAATAAATTAGTGCTGGCTGGTAGTTTGTATTCACACGTTTCGACTTGCAAATGTAAACTTACAAGGATTATTTAAAAGAGCAACACACAAGTTTCTTGCTCGTTCTTCTTGTGATGAGACAGTTTTACGAACGAGTGGTAGATAAAAAAAATTGTTATGACTATTCAAAAGTGCCTAAATTAAGTTTATTTGAATAAATGATTTTCTATTCTATTCTAATATTAATATCAGTTCACAATCCCCTTTCGGAAGATAGAAGACTAAGATAGAGGTACAGACGATTTATACAAAGTTTACTCCTGCTATAAAATGAATGAAGTAATGAACTCGCAGTGATATTATGGATTTAGGTGACAATCATCAGAAAAAAAATTAAATAATAACAATATCAGTAAAATAATTTATATTTAATTTTACATATTTATTACATAAATATATTAAATTTGACAAACTAAGTACAACGAGTCATAAAATTATAAATAATCAATAACTTTGGAAGACTGTTATGGGTGATGCAATATTTAAGTTTATTACATGGTCAGAACCATTCAATAATTAGTTGTTCAGGGTCATTATTATATTTATTTATTAAATTTATAATTGTATTATTATTATAACCTAGAAAAATTCACACAGCGCCATCTAGTCACAAACTAAAACACCACTATAAGTAATGAGCAAGTGAAATAATAATATGCACATGAAAAGTGTCATACTCATGAATAAATATTTGTATCTTGCGAGAATCAAACCCACAATCATCGTAAGCTGGTATGTTAAACCACAACACTACTGGGGCCTACAGTTATCTTTTGCCGTTTAATGTTATAGATAAAAATAAAGCGAAACTAGTAATTAAAATGAAACTTACATGAAGACAATTAAATTAAAATTTTTAACTGTAATATGTTTATTTTATTTTACATGTATTGAAACTGACTAACAAAAGGTATCTAGGTTTATAAGGGTAATAAATCCATTATTACCTCCCAATAAACATTCCCCAAACTTAATAAAGTTAATTGAGAGTTTAAATTACGGTAGTTCTCCATATAACACAGCACTATTATTAAGCTTTGTCATATAACGCGGCGATTCTCCACGTATGTGTAAGTTTTTTATATAAAACTAGCTGACCCCGCGAATTCCCTTCCGCCTCAAAATTAAATATGTCAAAGGTTTTTTGACGTTTAATTACGCAATAAATTTCTGAACGCACCCTGTTTGACAGGTATCAGCCGTTTTATATGGGTAAATATAATTGTTGTTAAAAACATTTATTCTACATGCGTAAGACGTTAAGTCCGCCATATGGTATTTCGTGCATTGAAGTTATATAAATAAATAAATCTGAGACGATTAAGGGCAGTAGATTTCATATAAATTGAGATATGACCGTCTATCTACGTTTTGGTAATATTCTATTATTGCTAAGTATTAAATATCCACAGAATAAAAACTGTCATGTACATATTGCCTAAAGTTATTGTCTATGGTCACGTTACGTGTGTATATGCCTTTTGTAGAATATGTGTAGCGCCTCCCATTGCTTGGTGTGGAGCAGGATGTGCGGCCGTCGGTTGCGCATGTACTCCACTGCTTCCTCTGGTGACCAGCCGTTCCTCTGTGAAGTTATTTAATAAAATTAAGTTGGCATTTATTTTTAACTCACCAACACATAATTGCAATATATATAACACATTACAATATAGTTAATATATTTGGCGCAACCTTAATTATTGGCAACTACGATTATTATCTATATGAAAATTTTAACTCTACGTGTACCGATTTTGAAGATTTCTTTTGTTGTTAAAGACGGTGCCTATCGTGTGTTACTAATAAAACACAATCTGAAGATTTTGCAGACAAAAACTTGACCAAAAGATAAAAAAAAAGTTAGGGGTGGACAGCCCTTATCAGTTAGGGGTATGAAAAATAGATAGTAGCCGATTCTCAGACCAACTGAATATACATATAAAATTTCATAAAAATCCGTTTTGGAGGAGTGTGGTAACTAACATTGTGACACGAGTATTTTATATATAACATTAAGTAGGACTCACCATCATGAGGTAACAGCCGACGAGGGTAGCGCTCCGCGTGCGTCCCGCCTTACAGTGTACGTACACGGTGCCACTGTTGATCTGCCTCTCTTCAGTTGGCACGGCAGTCAACTTGCCAGCGATTGGCAAGAACCTTAACCGTAACCAATTAATTTGACGTCCGTAAATATTGGGTGAGTAAATAGTAGGCAGTTCTGAGAAGAACCCACACATTTTATACCTTTATGTATTTATGTGATACCCGTAGCACCTCTTATGCGTTGCCATTTAATAAGAATGACATCTTTATACCCTGTAAGTACACTGCCATATTTCGGCCTTCGAACCGCCAAACAGCTATATCTAGTTCTAAGAACAGCTCACGGATATTATGCCTTTATGTGATGCCCGTTATATTTCTCATGCATTGCCGTTAATTTTGCCATTATTGCAGTAAGATGTCATATCTTTGTACCCTGTGATATACCCCTTTAGACTTGTGGCGGCGTGGTGGGCCGGGTCATTGATCGAGCGCAGTGATGGCTGGCTCATCCGTCATACTCGTGAACGGATGCTGCTTGTAGGGACTGGTCTGCTCTAATCACTATGACTGATTTCCTCTTATTAATTGTTTAACCAGTTGGTTATATATTCAATATTTTTTCTATTTGAGTATTTAATTGAATTAGTGCTAATTAGTGGTTTGTATTCACACACTTAAACTTAAACATGTAAAGTAATAATAAAATACTTAAAAGAGCAACACGCAAGTTTCTTGCTCGTTCTTCTTGTGATGAGACAGTTTTCCGAATGAGCGGTAGATTAAAAAAGATGTGAAGACTGTTCAAAAGTGTTTCAATGTAAGTTTATTTGAATAAATGATTTTCTATTCTATTCCTGTAATTACTCTGGTATAACAACCTGTCTAAAGGTTCAAATAGCTTTGATAAAATGTCACATATCTACCTGAAATGGAACATAGCTAGCAATTTTTGATTTATTATTTTTATTGCTTAATTTAAAAAAATATTAGCTTAGCATTCTTCATTCCTAATCTATATAAACTATAAGTGTGCGAAATTTCATACTCCTTTCTACGCATAATTTTTGTAAGAAGGGGTACAAAGTTTTTGCTACACGTACTAATATATAGATATATATATATATATAGTAGTATATACCTACCTATTGATAAACTTCACTCCTTCAAACAGCTTGTCTTGGTCGGGCGCTTCGAATATATCAGTAGTGGCCAGTTGCAGGAACTCCACGCCTTGCTCCCGCCATTTCTGTAATTGTATTGCCGACTATTTTATTAAATAATAAGCCAAGTCCTAGGGGAGCGTCCTAGGACTCGCTCAGTTGACTATTAAGTATACTGTAAAGAGAGAGATAGTAGATTTAGTTATGAGAACTCCCGAATTTTAGCTGCCAAGTTTCGCTTTGTCTTCTACCGAATATACAACGGACTGTCTACCTTTTACCATGGCACCGCTCGCCATCGACACGGAATGATTGCAAACAAGCTTAAGGACGATCTAGTGGTAAATCATTACCGAAGCCTATGGAAGCCTGAGACATATTGTTATTATTATCACAAAAATTTGCATCACATAATATTCTTGCATTTGTAAAATAAAAATACACTTATATTTAAAACTATATACACGTGTAGTTGGTAATGAACAAGTGCATATTAATACTATTCATGATTTAGAACGCAACAGTTTACTAAGTACTTATTTATAATATTAACACGAATTCACGTTACATAAACTTTTTATGTGGGCGGGCACCTGCAGTGAATTATAATATTGAGTTATCATAGATGGTTTTTAAACTGATGTTATATAGAATTTATTTACGTATTATGTATCTATACCTATTTCACAAGGTTTCGTCGTCATATGAACACAAGACTATGGAGAATTCATCAGCTAGCACAAAGACAAGTAAATAGTACAACTACAGACTCCACACAATACTTGCTAATATCTAAATATTGTTACAATACAATAAATTATATAAAAAAAAACTTGTTTTATAAAAGATGGATGTAGAAATGATACTTAGCGGACATTGTAATAAAGTATTATTGTATATATACAAATACGTGAAACGAGATTAACTATAATTATTATGTTAGAATATTATGTAAGATAAATTATTGGTTTAAAATTATTAGTGCCACTAGCATCTAAACTAGGCCGTGCCTGTGTCTTAGATGCCAGTTCTCCCTACGACAATTATATATATTTTCTTAAATTCGTGAATCAACTTAGTAATTACTAGTTTACTATATATATATATAGTATTATATATACTAGTGTATATACACACACATATATCATTATGACAAAGAATGTTAAATCTAAAATCGCTGTTATTTCCAACCTACACATTACTACAATATCAACTAATTGTAGGTAGTACTAATATTGTGTGCACTATGAATGAACATATATGTGACATATTATGTGAATCACTACTATGACTGTGGATTGCGAACTTATTCCTTGATGAATATTAATTAATGATGCGAACAGAGATGAATGGAAGAGAAAAACATATTACGCCGACCCCAAATAAATGGGATAAGGAAGCAGAGAGAGTTGGATATATATATATTTCAATTTATGAATTTTATTATAATTGTACCTTCCTCCTTTTATTGTTTATTTCATGTTATTATTTACTTAAATGCACCGCCCACTAATCTCTGTTTGCCCTATGGTCGACTGGGTGAAAATGCCTTATGGTGTTAAGTCCGCCATATGCACCTTTATTTTGTTTTATATTTGTGCATGAAGTTTTTATAAATAAATAAAATTAAATAAATTATTTGATCCCACTACATCCCATATGGATGGTCCCTAACATAATAAATATATCTATTCAGAACTCAATGTTGTAAACACAATGATTATATGACGTGTACCGTCAGGATACACGCGCACCATCTGTGAGATGCTGCAGATAGCCGGAAATAGGCGTTTGTTATGCTAACTATACAGGAAAGTCTTGTACAATATGAAAAAATCGTATCTATGATCTATTTGCAATTTAATTATTCATTACTAAAATAGGTACTAGGTATTGAGAGCGTAGTAGTCTAACCTTTTCGTTTGCACTAATCTTTCATCCCATATTCAACCCATGTCTAAACAAATAAAAATCATAATTTTTATGTGTAATTTTCAATTAATTTTTCGTCTGCAGAAAACTTTGATCCCGTATTTCAACCCATATCTACACAATTAAATGAAATTGAAATTTCTACTTATAATTTCAATTACTAAAATAGTTACTACTAGTTATCTAGAGCGTCGTCTTCTTTTCGTCTGCACAAAACTCATCCCGTATTTCACCCCATGTCTAAACAAGTAAATAAAATTCAAAATTTCTATTTGTAATTTCAAATTAACTTTTCGTCTGCACAAAACTTTGATCCCGTATTTCGACCCATATCAATACATATAAGTAAAATTTAAGTATCTATTTGTAATTTCAAATTAACAGTATTTCACTAAATGCATACGAAATTATATACGGTAGGTACTTAGATCAAAAATAATTAATAAACAATTTTCGGTTCGGTTTGAGTGGCTTATAGTCTATTATTATTACTTATTGACGGCATCGGTGGTCTAGCGGTTTAGCACATCGCTTTACTTTCGGTGGTCGTGAGTTCGAGTCTTTGTACGATGCAATCATTGTTGAGTATGATTGTTTCTATCCGTATGCGTGTTTTCTAAGTATATTATGAATGTATTTATAAAAAAATGTATCTAAGTATCAGTCGTCTAGTATCCAAAACACAAGCTCTGCTTAGCTTGGGACTAGATGGCGCTGTTTGAGTTATTTTTATACGCATGCATTCTCGGTCCTATTAATTAGCGGTAAAATAAAACGTTAATTAGACTTTCAAGTAAATAATATTTATTATATTATTAATTTCACGGATATTGAAACACGTGTTTGGTCTGAATAAAGAGTTCACAATCAAACAAAATTTTGTATGTTTGTACAATTTGTCTCTGTCGTACTTGCGCAAACTGTGGACACTTCCGTGTGCGTCAGAGAGAGTCAGTTACTTTAGCATGTATTGTTTAAAATGTATAAATAGTCAATTTTAATGATTCACCTAGAGTGCCTATTTTAAGCAAGTCAGTACATTTGAAAGACACGATCTTTTATTGTGTTAATGTACTAATAAACGACGACCTCGGTGGTCTAGTGGTTTAGCACACTGCTTTACGTACGATGGTCGCGGGTTCCATTCCTAGCACGGTTTCATGCTTCTCTCTCTCTGGTTCTCACGATTTTCGTATGACACCTGTAGTTGAGAAGATGATTGGGACCATTGTTGCATTTTGTAAGTGCCAGAGCCGGGTTATATCAGTTTGCATTTCTTTATATTTTGTTGTTTTTTCAGCTATCGTATTTTGCAGGATGTGTATGTTAGGGACAGCCATATCAATTAGGTATTCAGTTATTATTATTATTACTTTCTTAGCATTTCATGGATTCTCCATGCGCTGCCTAGTCCATCGTATGGCAGAGACGGACTAGGCACTCCGAGCTGTATATTTGAGAGAGACGAACTTTTACTACTGACGCCGGTGTAGCTTTCATTAAATATATATTTGATTCTTGGGAGAGGTCTCAGGATGCAGTCGGTGTATTTTGTGATCTTTCAAAAGCATTTGATTGCGTTGAACATGAAACACTTTTGCTCAAACTTGAACATTACGGTATTAGATATGAAGCACAAAGCATGATGAAATCCTATCTAAATAATAGAACTAGTATTAAAATGGGTGTTCCTCAGGGCTCTATTTTAGGTCCTTTCTTATTTTTAGTTTACATAAATGATCTTCCTTATATGGTAGAAAAGATAGCTGACATAGTTCTGTTTGCTGATGATACTTCATTAGTATTCAAAGTCAATCGACATATTGATCATATGGACAAGGTAAACGGTGCTCTCTCTTATGTTTTAAAATGGTTTACTGCTAATAATATGCTACTAAATGCAAATAAAACTAAATGTATCAAATTTACTTTCCCTAATGTAAGGCCGGTATGATTCAAAAATCATGTTGGACAATAAACTATTAATTTTGTGGACGATACTGTATTTCTATGTATCACACACTTCTAGGTATCACATTAGATTCCAAGTTGCAATGGGGTGCTCATATTACTAAATTGGCGAGTCGACTTAGTTCTGCCGCTTATGCGGTAAGAAGAATTAGACAATTAACAGACGTGACAACGGCTAAACTTGTGTACTTTAGCTATTTCCATAGCATTAGGTCGTATGGTATTTTGTTATGGGGCAAAGCAGCTAATATAAATACAATATTTATTTTACAAAAGAGGGCCATTCGCTCCATTTATAGCATGGGTTCCAGAGAGTCTTTGCGAGAGTGCTTTAAGGAATCAAATATCCTCACCGTTGCTTCTCAATATATTTATGAAAATGTCATGCATGCCAGGAAGAATATAGACAGTTTCAAAAGAGTTAGTGATTGCACTAATAAAAGCTTACGTAACAATAACAAACTGATTTTACCTAAATGTCGTTTGGCTAAAGTTAGTAATTCGTTTTATGGCAATTGCGTAAGGTTTTACAATAAAATACCAGAGTCTGTTATAAATCTGCCAGAAAAAAGATTTAAATGTCAAATAAAACACTTCCTTTGCAAAAAAGCTTACTATAAAATTGAAGAATTCGTTAACGATAATAATGTTTTTGTAGAAAAATTTTAAATACATAGCACTGACAATATTATCTGATTACACTAATAATGAGTGCGTAGCGATTTCTATGTTGATTATCGCATGCCTCTTACTTGTTACACTGTAATTATTTATATAAAAAAAAACATCTATTAAAAAGAGCAACACACAAGTTTCTTGCTCATTCTTCTTGTGATGAATCTGCATTCCGAATGAGTGGTAGAATCAAAATATGACTATTCAAAAGTGCTTGTAATGAGTTTATTTGAATAAAGATTATTTCTATTTCTATTTTCTAGCATTCCCTCGATTCTCAATGCGTGTGCCGGGTCCATTGTGGGGCAGCGAGGGAAACTCCGAGCAGTTCCCGGGTGTAATTTTAAAGGGCTACTGGCCGACGTACTTCAACATTAACCTTCACCGCTCGTGTAGTAAATCGTAGTTTTTGAAGAAAAAAATTGCTGTAATCTCTAAAATAAAATCCATACTAATATACATGTAAAGGTGAAGTTTGAGAACTACTGGTTGCAGTGCCAATCAGACGGACTACTCTGCAGTTTAATGTCTATAACGATTGTAATACAATCCATTTTTGTACGTAAACGTAAGCAAGACTAAACTGTATAACAATAATGACGGCCTCGGTGGTCTAGCGGTCTAGCACACCGCTTTACGACCGATGGTCGCGGGTTCGATTCCTCGCACGGCACAAACATTTGTATTCATGAGTATGATTGTTTCTATCGGTCTGGATGTTTTCTATGTATAATTTATGTATTTATAAAAAAAAAAAATATTCTATGTATTTGTCCAGTTGTCTAGTACCCATAACACAAGCTTTAGCTAGCTTAACTTGGGTCTAGATGGCGCTGTGTGAATTGTCCTGAGATGATTATTATTATTATTATTATTATTATTATAATATCTCAGAACAATTTTCTATCTAGTATGATTGTTTGTATCGGTCTGGGTGTTTTTTATGTATATATTTTTTTATTTTTTATTGGATGATAATGGAATGATGCACCCGCTCCGCAATGTTTTACACGGCGTGGTATCAGTGGAGGTAGATATAATGAGCGTGAAAACAGGTCATTTAGCAAATCTTGCCAAATTGCAATTTACCATGATGGTTTCCAGGGGAACTGCTTGGAGGTCAAACTGACATGGTACATTGCTAGCAATGGGGTTATAAGTTCACACTACTAACAGTTCCCTTCCCCCTGCAGAACATATACTATAGTTACTAAACAACTGATAGAAATATTTAAATGTAAATACATACATAATATACATAGAAAACAGCTTGACCAATATAAGCAATCATACAAATGAACACAAATGTTTGTACAGTGAGAGGAATCAAACCCGTGACCAACAGAAGTAAGGCAGTGTGCTATAAGATCAATTATATTACGGAATAAAATAAAATTGTGAATTAAACATTATTAATATGTGAGAATCAAACCTGCAACTATTATATGATGTGTTAACCGCTAGACCACTATAGCTAGTTTTTAAATATGGTGAATTCTTACCTCTGCATCATTGGAAAAGATCTTGAGTTCATATGTTTCATTCATTGAGACAACTCCCTTGATATTCTCCTCTTCTTTCAACTAAAACAAAACAAATCAAATCAAAATCATAAAACATTTATATTTATTAGTTATTTTAATCTTATACTAGCTGATCTGGTAGACATTGTTTTGCCATAAATAGAGATTTGATGGTAGAAAGGTTAAAAAGTACCATATAGGTCTTATGGTGGATATGATGAATAAAAAAAAAACAAAATTTTGACCTAAGTAAAGAAAATTTGGCACGGACTACCCCAATCATTCAGGACTATGAAAATTCAGATTACATCCTATTCTCAGACCTGCTGAGTATACATATAAAATTTTATTGTTTTCAATCAAACGGTTACTGAGGAGTCTTATAACAAACATTGGGACATGAGAATTTTATATATATATATTTAGTTGTTATATTACAATGAAGTGGTAAAAATAGACTATCCTTTATTGATTAAAAAATTAAGGAAGTAATCAAACAGATATATGAGTAAATTAGTATAACAGCAACTTTGTGGAATAACTTTCCAGCACTGGTATTTTCGAACCAACATATTACTGAAACCTTCAAGATAAGAGCTTATTTCTTCATAAAAGGCCAGCAACAGACTTACAAATTCACCGGTGTTGCAAGTGCTCAAAGGTAATAAATAAATAAATAATAAAGCCTTTATTTACTGTTAACATTACATTACAAATTTACAGCAGTAACTGCGGTCCTGATAGTCTAAATTTTTTTTTTTTTCACATCTGAATGTCAACAGTCTGTCATGTGACATAGGCCTCCTCCAAGTATTTCCATAGGGTTCGGTTCCTTGCACTCTGAGTCCAAACTTTCCCTGCTACCTTCCGGGAGGTAGGTATTCAGGAAGGTAGCTCAAAGGTGGCAGGATATAATTCAGTCCAGAGTGAAAACAAGAGAAAGGGCAAACTAGACATGCCATAGTTTAGATGCTAGCGGCACTAAAGTTTTTACAACTAATATTTCATCTAATATTATACCTATGCTATAGTTTTGTGAACATAATATACTCAATATCATTTCATCATATTGCTTATGATTATGATGAAATATTAAAAAAAAAATAGATTTTTTATTTAAGTTATTCACAAATCGGAATAAGACATTGTGTAGCATTGAATATTCTCTACATGTATGTATTCTATGTTTCAATATAGGAAACAATTAAACATATTTTCTATATTTTACATAAAGTATTTTAGTACAGTATGGTTTAAAACTTAAGCTTTCTTACGATATAAATTAACTTACGAAAATATATTATTGGGTATATCCTAAAATACTGAAAAAATATTTGAAGTCCTCTAACCTTAGTTTAAGATTGGGGGCATCTTAAACATTACATTTCAGAAAAGCATGTAAATAATGAATGAATAAGCAGTAATTAAGGCTGTTGGTAATTTATTATGGTAATTTAAATTGATTTTATAAACATAATTTATTTTTTTAATCACTTTATGAACAAGAACTGTGATACTTTGGAAATAAGTTCAATACAGTGGTAAATTTATAACCTACAAATGGGTACCTGTTTGGTCATACTCTGGAAAGGTAGGGCGCCGAGGATAACTGTATCATCCATCCTATCGTACCATCTCCTACTTGTGATCTTCTCCATTACCACATTATAGAGGAGAGTGGGATAGAAGGTAACTCTCGCGAACATCGCCGTGTTCTAACAAATGAACAGTTATATTAATACAAGACCTGCACTGACGACATCGCACATTAAAGTAGTGGTTGAAGGTAATACGAAGACGAGTACCATGGTGAAAGCTGGTTTTCGTGGTGGGGATTGAATAAATTTGGTGAATAATAAATACAGCTGTAACAATAACGTCGATCTTCGTCCGATTTGAAGTTTTTGACATTGACATTTTATATGACAGCGACAGTTTGTCAATTTGACATTAACACACGTTTTTTAGTGTTTAGTCTCGGTACTTGCTTCGGCAGTACATATACTAAAATTGTTTAGTCTCGGAGATAAAAATTACATTTGTTCTTTAATAAATTCCCTTACTCACGAAGTATAAAGAGTGTGGCTGTGACTGTCACGTCACCAAAAAACTTCGTCACATCAACAATCTAACATAGTGATTATTTGCTCAGATCTTATATCTAACTGGAGGCTTCTATGACCTAATAAAAAACAATCGTAACGCTCATGTAAAAGAAAGTTATACATAAAACAACGTTTATTTTTTTTAGTTTAATTGCTTTATACATATTTTACATACAAATATACATCGTTTAAGATATTAATTCATATGAATTTTTAAAATATTTTTATGATTACAAAAATTAGTATTAGCAGTGGCACTCAATGAGGAAGTAGCCATTATTATTGCTAAAAGTTGCATATAGATGGCGTGATTGGTATCGATGGAATTCTTCATAGTTTTGCAAACGTTTTAAAAAACAAAACTGTGTTTTCAAAAATGTTTAATCAATTTTTAAAAAGTTATATATACATGTTAAAATGAAATAATGCGTTTAGAAAAGTAATTTTCATATATTTACTCATTTTGTTATTTTCCAGTACTTAATTACACTTTAATCAGTGCTAATATGGGGCTCAATGTTTTCAAAATGCTTTCATAGATGGCATTGTCGTCATTTGTATCGGCCTAATTAAATGTCTTTTTTATATTTTCCAATAATAAGCACTTAATATATTATTATTGTAAATTAAACATATAAAAATTTTTTAAGTAAATTAAAAATAGCCGAACAAGCAAGTAATAATATTTCCAATAATACTTATGTATGAAGTGTTGTCATATTATAAATAAATACATGTATTATCGATTTTTTTTAATAATCGATAACAGGATTTTATTACGCATTATTCGATGATGCTTTTAATGAGTCGTTGTGAACAGTAAATTTTCATTATTTTGTATTATAGCAGTGTTCCGTTTCAAAGAACGGAATATAGTAGTACATTATTAGTGTCGTTGGTTATTTGCATTTGTACTGAAAAATCGATTACATAATAATTTAAAATATCGAGTACGAATCGTAGTTGTCTTCGAATACTGGCAACTGGTAAGATTAAATTAGTATTTGAAAAAAAAAAAGAAATCGATCCTAATTCGAATACCATAAAGTTGATTTTCCTTTCTCATTAATATCATAGCAGTTTGTTTTTAACTTGCGTATGACTCTGTGGTATGATGTTTAACGTGTATTGTTATTGTACGGTGCATACATTTCAAAAATTATATTTTAATGTAGGTACATACATTACTTTCATACATTTCAAAAATTATATTTTAATGTAGGTACATACATTTCTTTCATACATTTCATACATGTCAAAAATTATCTTTTAATGTAGGTACATACATTTCTTTCATACATTTCATACATGTCATAAATTATCTTTTAATGTAGGTACATACATTTCTTTCATACATTTCATACATTTCAAAAATGAACTTTTTATGTAGGTACATACATTTCTTTCATACATTTCATACATTTCAAAAATTATATTTTAATGTAGGTACATACATTTCATACATTTCAAAAATTATCTTTTAATGTAGGTGCATACATTACTTTCATACATTTAAAAAATTATCTTCTAATGTAGGTACATACATACATTTCTTTCATACATTTCATACATGTCAAAAATTATCTTTTAATGTAGGTACATAACACCCCATGTCAGACCCCTTGTATTTGGAAGAAACTTAAAAATAATGCCAAAAATATTAGATGAATATATTTTTAATACGAATATTGTTTTATTTTTGTTCATCAACTTTATCCCTCACTAACAATACTAGTAGTAGTACATAACCTGGTTTATACCGCTAAAGATATTGAAAGATATACGAGTAATTCAGAATGTTTGTGAAAGCGAGACAAATAGACAGATGAGTTACTTTAGCATTTATAATATTTTTAAGAATATCGCTATTAAAAATAGGGGTTGGTGAAAGACGGGTGAAAATTTAGGCGTGTATGTATTTTCAATGTAACATTATAAATAAAAAAAAAATTGTCCATAATACAAAAAAATATTTTTTCGGGGTAGGCCACCCCTATGACTTAGGGGTATAAAAAATAGATAACAACCCTACCTCAGACCTGGCAAGTATACATATCAATTTTCATCATGGGAGAAATATGGCAACTAACACTGTGATACAAAATTTATATATTGTAATACACTACCTCTAAGTAGATATATATATATAGCGGCGCACCCGCCGGTAAACATAATTTTTGTTGGCTCGTTGCTAAGCAACGGATACCCCGGTAGCGGTTGGGTAACGGGAGGCCGGCGGCAGTTGGTCGTTGAATACCTGGCAAGCAGCGCAATAGTCTTACAACTTATTTTAATTATTTTTATGACGATCCAACAATATAAGATATAGCGGAATTCTCATTAGGTAAAGAGGGGTACATCGTAGAATACATGAGGTATATACCAGTAAATTAATTGTAGCTAAAATCAGTCTCATACATATAACGATTGAAATAAAAAAAACGTATAGCCCGATTTTGATACGTACGAGTATAAACGTATCAAAATCAGGCTACAAGGTATAGCGCGAGAACGCGTTACAACATATCAAAAAAATAGGCATGGAATGTAAAATAAACATAACATAATAGGTATATACATTGGCACATAAGCCATATCTGCAGAGTGTCGGCTAACGATATTTGTTTTATAATACACATTTACATTGAATCTTGAATCGTCCCTAATGAGGTACACGATACAGTAACCTACATATCTATTATATACATATCTTTGCAAAACAGATGTCATGTAGCTGAATTGACTGCCATCTATTTTCATGCTTTGTTACTAAGCACCCACTAGTAATCCGAACTGCTTCAGATCTAGCGACATCTAGCGGCTCCGGTGGCGAAATAAAATAGCCCGAAGAATAGCCCGAGTTAGGAAGGAACCATTTTCTTGTATGGGATGGGGTATCTGTATGTAATATTATGTTATCTGTGGTATTAGGCATTTTATAAAGATGTCAGTTCAAGTTTGTTCATAGGTACATGTAGTTGCATGTAGAGGCGACAGGTGTATTGACATTTTTCGATAGTATAAAATTGGTTGCCGTTACCTCCGCACCCCGTCCATTCAAATGGTAGACACTTTCTTGCATTTATATCGAAGTAATAACTGTAAAATATAAATAATATTAAACCCAATCTACACATACAATAGTATACAAGGTAGAATAAAAACACAGATTATAAATCGTAATATTTATTCTACACTAGCTCTATCCGCAACTTCGTCCGCGTGGAATTTAACTTTATTTTCTAAAATAAAAGTAGCCTAAGTTACTCCTTATTACATTAGCTACCTGCCAACAAAGGTCCCGTCAAAATCGGTTTAGCCATTTCAGAGATTAGCCGGAACGAACTGACAGACTAAAATTGTAAAAAATGTTATTTTGGTGTATATACCATATTTATATTCATATGCATGTAGTAAAAAACGATTATTTCAATATTACAAAAAGACACTCCAATTTTATTTATATGTATACATTAAAAGAAAGCAAAGCACTGAAATAGATGCTTACTTAATGTGTTTGAGAACATATTTGCTATTTTAAGTAATCAGGCGTTTTTTGGTTCAGTAATGTAATGTTGATTGGTTTGTTATAGGGGCTTCCATTCCCGGAGAGACAGCCAGAAATATAAACTGACAAATCAAGATTTTTCAGTATTAGTTACACTTGAACTCAATACTTTTTAGTAGTAACCACTGGATTACGACGCTTTCAAAGAAACCCCCAATCTATACCTATTCATTTTTGTGTAGGCGTTCTAGATCAGTGTTACCTTCTCTAAAATTCTTATGCCCCTCATATAAAATACATAATTTAATAACATTGATAAAATCACTAGGAAATTGTTAATGTATCAGTAAGTAAATCTACAAAACATATAATGAAAAATTGAAATTCACATTCCATATAATTTTAATAAAGAATCTAGTATCGAATTGCCCCCCTTATTAATTAAATTTCCCCCCATGGAGGCACGGGCCCCACGATGAGAAAGACTGCTCTAGACTGCTCTAGATGGGATGCATGAGTGGATTCTTTAACGAACAGTCAACTGTATTCGTTTCTTAAAGGTCGGCAACGCGCACGTGACAATCCATGTGTTTCAGGCGTCCATACGGCTACGGTAACCGTTTACCATCAGATGGGCCGTATGTTTGTTTGCCACCTAATTAGTATATAAAAAAATGTGATTACCTATGGATTGTGTCATCGCAGGATCCGCTATCTTTTGGTAGCTCACAGATACCCACCGCAGCTGTACACAGAACGTGGTTCATAAATTAAATAATTTATTAACTACCTACCGAGAAAATGTAGGCACTTAAAGTTGTCTCCATGTGATATGGTCATAAAATTGGTGGCGATATTGCAGCAGTGTCAGAAGCACCTTAGATCACTTTATATGTAGACAATTTTAGGGACAACAATAATAGTAATGGCTACATACAAGCCAATAATAGGCTCCGGAGATTTATCAATATTAAAGCAATGGATACTAATTTATTATTTATTTATTTCATAATCAAATCAAATCTCATGTAAGTCTATTACAGACTCTCATGATATGTCAAATCTATCACAAGTTCGGGGTGCTTTCGAGCTAAGAACTGACAATAAATTCGTCATTTATTTCAATTGAGTTTGTACATGAATACTAAATACAGATTCATTTTTAATAATTTATGAACGTTACCTATATATTTTTTAATGTTTTATATGTTGTTTTTATTTATAAAACCATCTAAGTACTTACTACCGTCCGTCTAAATTCCCAGATTCA